AGGAGACGCAGGTCAAAGAACTTGACCTCGTGAGGCAGGCTCCTCTCGTTGTACAGCTTGATGCGCTCGGCCAGGCCCACCACCAGCCGGGCTTCAGCTGTCAGCTCCTGCGCCCTCGGGCTGCTGAAGACAATGTTGCAGAGACATTTGAGGGACTCCAGGATTACGTCCAAGTCTGGGACCTCCCGGATGAGCTCCTCCGAGTAATCAATGCCAGCGTGCCTGGAGAGGGTCTTCAGGCCTTCCCTGGTGGTGAAAGGGTCAAGGCAGTACTTGTCCCGGGACAGGATGCGGATGCTCTCCAAACAGGCGACCTGGCAGGACGGCTGCAGCTCTCTTTCCAGGAACTTGATCAGCAGCTGGGCCATTTTCTGCGCAGTTGGAAACAAGTCCTGCCTCACACACTGACACTTCCCCGCGCTCCCCCCAGCCCCGTAATGCTCTGCCGTGGAAGACGCGAGCGTCATCTCGAGACGGGCCTGCTAACGGCTCCGGCTCGGGTGTGCGCTCCACAGCACTCGGGAAGCGTTTGGCTCCGGCATCTCATCCTGGCCTGGTTCGAGCAAGGACACCCGACAAGAAACAAACAACAACGGGGAGAGTATGACCAGGCAATGCCACTATCGCCTGTTTTAGCTTCACCCACTGTCAGGGTGGTCCAGGCTGACACGGTTTACTTGACAGCTGCAAGCAAAGAGAGGGCAGGGCAAAAACGTGCCTTATGGCTTCACTGAGGAGCAAGCCCCAACTCAACAGCAGTTCTCTGCTTCCTCCGAGAGCCTTAAGATTAAGGAGGCATCTGCTTCAGGTGCTCCAGAAACAGACTGAGAAGGTTGAGAGATGCGTCAGAAAATCACCAAGGGAGGGTAAAAGGACCCCAGCGAGGCGAGAAGAGCACGTGATGCCCCAGGAAAGGAGGTGAAAAGACCTCAGGAGATTCAAATAAGTAGTATCTCCCTAAACCTCAGTGCTGTCTGGAGACCTACTAGCCCAGATCCTCAGTAGGTACAGACTGGCAGAGCTCCACTAACACCAATTCACAGAGCTGCAGATCTAAGCCTTGTGGGTAACAGCATCGCACATGTCAGCGAGCCACGCGAGGCCGCAAGAGCAAAGGTAATGCTTCACGCCGCCCAGAGCAGCGGCGTTTGAACCGTGCACAGCAGCACTTCACGTTACACCAGTCATCCACAGCCCAAACAATCGCACCTTGGTGAGCTACGCTCTCACCAGATCTCTCTAACCTAACGCTGTGTCGGAGCACGCAGCTTTCCATGCTTGTTACAAGAGCGAAGGAATCCAAGGGTGCAAGGTTTGCTACCATGCTGTGTAACTGGCTTAACACAGCCTAACCAGTTGTACGTCTTAGTGAGAAAAGGATTGAGGGAAGGAATGAAGAAAACAATCAATTTTAGTCCTTAATGTGAGGCTAGCAGAACTGAACAAGCTTTAGCTCATGAAGTATGCCCCACGGTCACGTCCTTGGGAAGTGAGGGAGCACAGTCATTCCTCTTCTCCTTCCACATGAGGAGACAGAGACAGGAGTCAAAGATACAGTCAAAAGTAACCAAAGCCTCCGACTGACTCAGGTTAAAGAGGTCTCAGAGCATGTGCCCAGTGCTAAACCTGCCAAAGAACTGAGCACCAGGAACTAGATAGTGATGCTCACTTCATATTTCATGACACACCCCAGAAGTGAGCACCCGAAGGCTGTGCTTGAACTCACAGCCTGTGTGACTGTCCCAGCTCAAACAGCGAGTCAGTGCAAGGCAAAGAGCTCAGATCTCATGAGAGTCAGTCCCACGCCTCTGGGAAAACTCCATGCTAGCGTTAGCTGGCAATGGCACAGACCACAGAGGCCTCATCCTCTACCCAGGCTGCCTGGTCCACACTCGCTGTGCTAACAACAGGCGTTAGCACAATCAACCAACGTGCTGGACCACAAAACTGATCCAGCTGGAAGATTATCCAGAAAAAAAAAAAGTTATTCTTTAGGCAGATCAGCCCACCAACCACGTGCAGCCATGCCAAGGTCTGCCCTGGCATGAACAGGCAGGAGTGTTTCTTTCCATCGAGCGCCAGATTACTCCAGCTTAAAGGATCTGTGAACGTGCAGCCTCGGCCAAATCCTGCAGCTGGCTCACAGCAGAAACACCGACCTTCTAGAGCCCTGCGTGTTGCTACGACCTCTGCCTAGCAGGCTCGTGCCACAAACACAAAGGATCACGATCTTATACACCCATGGCTGAGACTATACATGTCACACAACCCAAAGGGCTGGCTAACGCTGGAAGGATGCTGACCTTTATCCTAAACCAGCAACTACTGATGGAAAAGACGGAACCAGACACTCTGAGCACACCATTCCCTAACCAAGTTAATGAAAAACCACTCATTTCTTTCCCTGCAGGAGCTGCCACCACCAAGCCCTGCTGGACACAAGCACAGAGCAGCAGATTTACACATCCAACTAGAGGAAGAGAAAAGAGTGTGCCTACCTTCCTCTCTTCCCGCTCCTCATCGTCAAAGGTGAAGCACTGAGATTTCTGTGGGGGCAAAACAAAAGCAATCAAAATAAGTAATATGTTAAAAACCCCACAAAACAGTTTCCCCCAGGCAGGGGAGGGCTGTTCAGCTGGAAAGCAGCAGGGCTAAAAACATACTGCAGAAGCAAGCGCTGCTTCTGAAGAACAGTGCCCCGCGGCAGAGAGGCAGGGAATGGGCACGGCAAGGAGGGCCCCAGGGCTCAGAGCCCACGGCGTTCGTGGGGTTTGTGACGAGCGGCACAAGCTCCCCAGGAATGGGGCAGAAGGAGAACTTTTCTGCCACTGAGGTTTTCGCTTCAGTCCTGCCTTTTCTTTCCAACACCGTTCCTCCAGGCAACTCCAACTACGTGCTTCACAACTGGGGGGGACACGAATCTGGTGGGAAAAGCAAGAGAGATGGACCACGCCACCAGGTCTGAAGGGCTTTTCCTTGACTGAGGTCCCCGCTGTTCTGCAGGCCCCTGCTTCTCTTTCATCCTCGAAAAACGCCTGTCTGTGATGAATATTATCAGTTGCCCTCCATGGCAGAGCCCGACTGCCACAGGCCAAAGCTGTGCCCGTCTGACGGACGGACTTACTTTTAAATGGGGCAGCAGTAAAGTAGGTATTCATCACGATCCAAACATCCTGTAAGAGCTGGCAATTCCTCTGCTCAGTGACACCACCAAGCTGTGCCTACACATTTCTCCCCTTCATATTTATTGTTCCTTCTCCTGACCAAAAGAGTCCCCTTGTTACTTGCAAACAGATCCTTGCGGTTCTTCAGGTCACGTTCTTTAACACAAGAGACGTGATCTCTACACCTCCATCATGTCCCTCCCCTCAATAAACAATCCTGCTCTTTGTTCACAGGAAACATTTCTGTGTTTCTCACTATTCTGGCTGTTCTTCGATAGACAGTCGCCCTTCTGGCTACACCTGCCTCCAGTGAACAGGACAGTACAGGAGATCACAGGCACCCTGGTGAAAAGCAGCACTTTCCAGTGAACGATGCAATCCTCACAAGAGCAGCTGGTCCAAGCTTTGAGAACAAAAATCTTTAAAATCTATAAAACACTAGTTATGTACACACAGATACAGCTACATTTGGAGAGATGTGCAGATATAACTGTATCATAGTTCTCCCCTCATTTTCTTAGCGCTCACTGTCACCTTTTACTGAGTTTCACTGCTTACACTTATGGAGCTGCTCAATAATGCTCCATTACCACAATCCATCATTCATATACTCTGGACTTACTCTTCTCTTGAGTGACCACAATACATGGATACCCCATCTACGGCTCCAAGCAGCTGAGCTCACCTCCCACTGTACTGATCACCTGACGAGCCGTCCGTTGTCCAGCTCTACCCGACTTCCCACCCAGCAAAGCCCAGGACAGACCGCACTGAGTTTTTGGAGACTGCAGGTGTTCCCTGCCTCCTCTCTCTGCAAATGCGGTCCTCTGTGCCATTCACTGCCCTTTTTAGGTGCTGCCAAAGCCATTTTAGGCAGGACAGTTTGCAGATTAACTGTGTGACAGTCACCGAGATCCCAGGGATGGCGGCGCTCTCTCTAGCTGACAAGCAGCCGCGACGGGCAAGGCAATGCCGACATGCCGCTCGAGAAGCCTCAGGTGCGGAGGCAGGAGAGCTGTGCCCTGTGGTGCCGTGCCAGGGGCTGCCCCCTCGTGCCTCA